ACATGCTTTATTGGATTTATGTCCGGACTCAACGCAGGCCAATTTATTGTAGGTATACCGATCTCAGTCAGATAGTGACTCGAACGGTATGACATCGTGCATTATCATGCAATAAAATAAATAAAGGCATTACCAATAAATCCCGCGTATGGAACCACATGTTCCTCCAAAATATCTCTGATGTAACGATCCGCTGTTAAACCTCCTCCACGTCCTCCACCAGGCACAAAAACCAGGTCGGTTTTCCCATCCATGGAAATGCCTGCTCAAAACATACATGAACCGCCTCTATATGATACAATTTCTCGTATACAACATTGAGCAAATCGTTCCCCTGGCCTTCTATAACTCGACGCCTCTTGTCGTTGCTATGTAGGCAGATCCTACTTTCGTCTGAGAATAATACCTGACTTGATTGATAGTCGTCCCAATCCAGATGTTCGCGATCAATTTCTAGTCGTCTTTGCTTCTGGACTGCAGTTAGCTTGGGACTAGTAGCTGCCCTTTTTTGTGTCAGGTTGGCTGTTTTCAGTCTCCTTCTGACTATCCAAACGCTGGTAACCACATCTCGGACCTCTCTAAGCTCTTCTTTGAGATTAGCACCAGTCAAATATCGATTTCTTAGAGATTTAGATACAAGAAATTGATCATCTCCCTCTGTCATTATTCATTTAAGATCTCCTCCTTGTCAGCGGACATAATCACCAGTATCTTGGTACCGACGATACACTCAGGGATACAGCAGATTGGCTTAAATCTAGTCGATTTGCCACGGCTCTCTGGCTCAGGTCTTCTCTCAATAATGCTACTGCTTGAGCTGCTTTGACGGATGTGGTATCCATTTGTTCTGAAGTTGCGAACTTAATTGATTGATGTATTAGTGGGTTGCTATGGAAATTTATACTTACGATGTTAACCAAATGTGTTAAGTGGGTGCGTGTCGATTTCAATGGGTCAAATTATGACTCCCTCTCTACGTGTTGCATTATTTATTTGTAATACGTCACCTGATTTACCAAAAATCAAAACGTTTTCAAACTCAATAATGAGGTTAATACTTACACACTAAATATTTTTAAATTTACACCTTTTTTGATTGAAATAGGAGACATACTTTCGCAAAATAATTTTTAGTCGATTTTTTTTGTACTAGAGTGTAGTTTATGTTATCCTTGAAAATATGCTTTATACATTATATAGTTGAAAAAAAAATGTAAGTACAGATTTTTTGTTTTAACCTATATCATTGACATAAAAGTAAACAACTCTTTTTTGTTTTAATGTATTTCATTGATAATAAAAGTAAACAACTTCTTTTCAAAAACGCCATTCAAACAATATTTGGCATGCTATATTGCTCCGAATGGCTTCACTACAGGAAGTTAATGTTTTAAAAAACTACATATTCATATGTATGCACAGTATTATTGTTGTCTGATATAACAAGATCATCTTATAACAAGGTAATTAGTCATTTCAGTTCTTGTTATAGAGGGAGTCTACTGTATTACCTTTTGTCCATTGAAAAATTCTCCTCCATACAATATAAGCTGTTCTTTTTCTGGATGGGCCACAAAGGTGAAATTTAATCTTCTTGAAGGTGGACTGATTATAGCTTCAGTAACAGTCAACCTTTTCTTCTCTTCCTTCTCAATTTGTAATAAAATAGATTCTATATCATCCTAAAACAAAATCAGTAAAATTAAGAGATATTTATTTAAAATATATTTTCAACAAGTTAATTTCAGTATTTGTAAAATAAGATAGTAGTTAAAGGCCATGAAATTTCAATTAAAAATCTTCAAAATAGTGGATCTATCTACTAAAGACATGAACATATTTCATGTAACACAATTTTTTCAGAAGCTGTCTGTTATAAACCAGTTGTACTACAGCTAATTGCATTATTGTACATCTAACATCTACCATTTATTCCTGGTACATGCCTGAAACCTACTTGTAAGGTCTAGTTTATGAGGACCTAATATAATTATGTCTTAAAAATTTTGATCTACAATTTTGAATTATTCCCAATGATATAATTGACGATTTGTCAAAGCCCTTAGTTTAATCCTATATTGTTATATTTTCCAAATTGATATATTGTATTGTGTCACAATGCACTTATATCTGTTTTATTAATTATTTTATAAAATTTATATTTGGTAAGCTTAGAGAAAATAGAACAGATTATATTTCAGATATTTTCATCAAATAAATAGTTTTTGGAATTCTATTGTTTTTTTAATTTATGGAAAATTTTTATTTGTCTTTTGTACTTAGGAGTATGAAGAAAAAATAAATGTCTAGCTATATTAAAAATAAGTATATTTATTTCTATAGTGTATTAAAAGCCAAGTGTGTTTCTATAGTGTATTAAAAACACAAATATAATAGAATAAGAACATTTACAATAAATGGAAGCAAATTATCTGTAACCAAAAACTATGATTAGTTATCCAAATTAGAGTTATTAAATGCTTCATTTGATCAGTCCTTCTGTATGGAGTTGAAGCTGGACATTAAAATCAAATACCTTGAGATGGCTAGAAGCCTTTGAAATGTGGCTAGATATCATGGACACAACACATTACGAATCAAACAGTATTAAACATCATAAATGCAGAGTTAGAACTTAATACTAGGCCACATAATGAAAAGTTACAAATATAACCTGATACAAATAATAATTAAAGGGAAGGAAGATAGAGGGCCGAACAGTCATGATATGGCATCGAAATATCAGAACTTGGACCGACATGAACATTCAATAATTACTAAGAGTGGAGCACAATAGAGAACATTTTGATGTAGTGATCGCAAACCTCCAGTAATTAAGTGTGCCAGAAGAATATTGGAGATTACAATCCTTCGATTGTATCATATGGGAATCAGACATAATACTCATACTTTTAGGCGATAATAAGCACAAATGTTACTTTTTGTGCCTCAGCTATCACTTTTACTCCTATTAAAACATTGCTCAATACTATTATTTCAGGAAAACTTAAAAGTTGAGTAGAACAAAAGTGGTAATTAGTAAAACGAGATAGTTATAGTTTATTCTTATTAATATTTAAACTGGCTTGTAGCTTTACCTCTCCCTTAGCTTGCAGTTCTTTCTTCATTTTGTTTGTCAGTTTCTTTTCTGTTTTTGCTGTTGTTTTCTCGGCCCCTTTTCCCTTTTTCTTATCTTTCTTATTCTTCCCCATGATTTGGTTTAATTTGTTTTATACAATGTGTGAAATAAGTGCCGATATCTAATTTAACATAACCTCAACTCAATCCAACTTTATAAACATGAATATTCTACTCACTCTACTTTTTCAGATGGTCTTCCATCTAGATTTCAATCAGCTATTATAATATATAATAGAATAATCATGATATAATCATGAGAATAATATAAAAAGATAATAGAAAATAGCAATTTTATTTCTTATTTTATAAAAGGATAATTTTGCTGACAAAAATTCCTGGGAAACACATTTTTTTTGGAATCTCTAGTTGATAAATATTATTGTACAATTAATTTTTTTAAGACTAACATTTCAAAACCGTAGAAAATAAACATAAATTACTGTAAATATTAAACATAATTAACATTTCACTATTTCTTGTATAAATGTGGTATTCCTGTTTACCATGTTTTTTAATATTTTGTTTTGAAATCGCTTTGTTAGCGAATTCCCGATATAAATTTTTATTTTTCGTTCGGGAACAATACCATTACATAACATTTATTTTATGCGAAAGGATGTTATCCTAGTTTAACACATGGGTACTTGGACCATATAAAACTAAAAGTTTCCTGGGGCGAGATCAGTAACACCTGAGCATATCGACATATCTAAATATCTTGAGTTGTGTTAGACTTTTCACTAATATAAAGACCATGTCATAGTAAAAGACATTAGTTTAAGATGAGAAACAATGTTTTCTAAGGCAGACTTATTTTAGGACCTATTAGAGGATATTCATAAGACTTAAATAGAGAGGATTACCAATACACAGAGGATAAAACCCTTAACACATAGAGGATATCCAAGACATGTAGGAGAGATATCCTAAGTAGAGAAGGATTACAATCCAGAATAATGAAACCCAAAGACAAATAAGGTCTGCGAACACCAATTATGATAAGGTGCTTATCATAAAATGGGTAATGTTTAAAACTACACATATTTTAAAAATTCAAAAAGTTTGGGGGTAGATTGAAAAAAGATAAAATATCACATGCAACAAGGGAATTGATCTCATTTCGGTTAAGATTCGTAAAATGTATCTTCTTGCAGTTTCCTGTCCGCATTGGACGTTGGACATCACTCTAGTCCACAAAACCTTATTCACGGCTTCCCTAACGAAGTTTTCCCGGTCCACTTTCTCAAAGTTCTTAGTCACAAAATACGTCGTCTACCTGCTGGTACCTTTTTTTCATTTTGGCCTGCGTAATTGAATTAAGTTAAGTTGAATTAAATAGTATTTTTTGTTTCGAATTATGTGACCGAAGTATGACAATTGTCTTTGTTTTACCGTTAAAGTTAGTTGCTGTTGTTGACTTATCCTTTATGTGCACGATATTCGTAACATACTGAATTAATATTTCCTTCCGAAAGCTGTTATTTCCTTTCTGGTGGCCTCTGATAAGGTCCAAGCTTCATATAAATAAGAAAACACATAGCATCTGAGTACTCGCAATCTAATATGTATATTAAGCGGCAAGTTACACAGTACATTCCTCACGTTGGTTAATATACTTCTGGATTTCTAGATACTAATATGGATTACACGCAAGTGATCCCAATTTTTGTTCAAGTTGCAGTCCACTTATGTGAAATTCTGAGCTTTTGCTAATATCCCAGTGCCTAAAAAGAATTTACTTATGGTTAATGGTATGATTTTTGCTGATGGTCATTACCTTGGTTTTGCTCGTGTTAAGATGCATATGTGCAATAAAATAAGATGTAAAAACGTATTGTCGAGTGGAGACCAAGACAAGCAGCAATATGAAGCAGAAGATGCCGACCAACTAGATGGACTGACGATCTGAAGCGTGTTAGCAATAACTGGATGCAACCCGCACACGACAGAAACAGATGGAAGGAGCTGAGGGAGACCTATGTACAGCAGTGGACGCATACAGGTTGATGATGATGAAGATGCATATAATACGGTCTACCATCTGGACTATCGGCAAGTAAAACGATGACGTCAGCATACCTGAAATTATTTATGGAAATCCTGTTACTTGATATTATATCTTCAATTTATTCCAAAGCTTCTCTAAAGAGATGCTTTGACTAAACCTTTTTGTTGTTTATATAAGTTGGCTATAATTCTAAGATCATGCTTTTGTATTCCCGTCGTATTTAAGATACCTTTGTTTACTATATCAAATGCCGTTTCAAAGTCTAAGAATCAAGCGAAAACGTTACTGTTCACATCTCTAGCTCTTTAAATCAGTATATTTATGCTAAAAGTGCCTCTCTCGTACCAAGGGCGTTTATAAAGCCAAATTGAAATTCGTCAAAATGTCATTCTAAAATATGGATTTTCACACCAGTAATAGTTTTCAGGGGAGGCCTATGTTCAACTTTGAACGCAGAAGGCTGGATGATGATGATTGATACTAAGTGCTACACTGAATCCCCTCCACCGCTTGCAACAGTAAGGTCTGTAGAAGCTGCCTTACTATACTGAAGGTTCGCTTATATGACTCTGATAGGGGTCCTTGGGACCGATATACCGAACGAACAGAGAAACGACCGTGGTCGCCTCTGTGCTCTTTCACTCTAGATTTTTATTTATTGATTCAGAAAAGTCCTCGTCTGGGCTATCTCTTTTTTCTGTTATTTTCACAAGTTAACAAGAAGTTCAGCCAGGCACACTAGTGCTCTCATACCGTAATAAGGCTAAAATCGCCCTGAGTTTGCCAGCTCTCTGGCATGTTTCTTTCTGTAAGCCATATGGTAACGCCTCGGGATGAGTGTGGTAGTCGGACAAACATCTCCATATGAATCAATCGTGGTGCCATGTCTGATGATTTTGTGCGATCTGTACGTTTTTGTAATGTTTAATCAACAAATCTATAGTTAATAACATAACTGCAGTTCCTGTCACGTTTTCAGTTGACCTGCGGGTTGTGTCATGTTAATTTCTCTTGAATTTAAAACTTTTGACGTGACTGAATTTTCAGTTAACTTTGTCTAGAGATTATTACTTTGTATTGCTCTGAATAGGTGTAAGTATGTATACTACTTAGAAGTTCCCTTTTCGTAATAAATTATGTTTGGGGGTAGAGTTTTTATATTGTCCCATAAACGAGAACGTTTTCATTTAAATTACTTCATTCAAGTATTAATCTCAAATAAACCTTTATAATTTAATTAATCTTGGCTTGTCATATTGTGAGTGTTGACTAATTTATTATTTTTATTTTTTACGTTTATTTACGTACGAATCGTCTTGTAATTTAAATAATTCATTTTATAGAATAGAATAGAATTTATTTAGTCAATATACAAAAATAGTTTTGTTTTTGACAAGTCAAAGAAATAGTGATAATTTGTACATACATACATATAAATTTTTTCCAAATTTAAACATTACAAACAGATACTTAATATTTACAATTTAGGAAACGACAAACACACTAAATAAAAATATAAAAACATGCAATATCGTCATAATAGGCAACTACCCGTACCAAACTAGTAAGGGAAAGTAGCCTAATTTCGGATACCATTTACAATTAGTGTCATATTTTTCACCTAATAACACATTTTAAACTTTTATCTACTCAAGAGTACTTGCAGAGTAATATAGAAACTAATTTTATTATCATAGACAATTTATTGAAAATCTTTTTTACAAAAAATATTGTTCAATAAAATTAGTGCTTTTGTATGTCAAAAATTTTAGGGCTCCTAATTTCGGATACCCTATCGGAAATTAAGACACCATTTTGTTCATCATAAGAATAGTTACACATCTTGACAAAAGTCGCAAATATAGGTTTTCTTCTTATCAGCATTGGCGCACATCTCATGACACCACTTGAAGCACTTTATACACCTTATCCACTTCTCACCGTGTGTATCTTCGGAATATAAACTGTCACAAAACATACATTCTGTGTCTCCATCTTCATCGTCTACATCCATATCAGAATCATCATCCAAAATAAGGTCATCACCAGGATGTGAAGTGTCACTACTACTCGATTCAATTTTTTTCTTTTGCTTTTTTTGGCGTGGAGTTTTTTTCTGTTGACTTGATTTAATTCGTTGCTTATTTTTGGTTTCTTTTCTTTCAAAGACTTTTTTCTTTCTTGTTCGGCTACACTTCGTTCAAGTTCATCTTTATAAGGTGTACTAGTAATTATCCAACTAGAACCTTTTCGAGGATTTTTTGTTTGTTTGTTTGTGAGGTATAACTGCAAGAAGGCAGTGGACTAATATCCTCAGCTCTTATCATAGTTGCCGTAGTTTCAGTTGCATTTCCATTGGATGATTTATTTGTTAAGTTATGTTTTGGAGGTGTTCTTTCGATAATGCTTTGTGGTTCTGGTCTTGACTGACCTCTTGTTGGTAATACTTCCCCATGATTTTGATTTATGGGTGGTGGTGTTCTTTCTCTTTGTCTCTCCATTATAAAATCGTGATCAGAAAAGTTATTTTGATTAAAAGGATATATTCCAGATTTGCGAAAACCATTCGCGGAAATTTCTGCAGTAGCACTTTTCAAATACGCCGGGCACATAAGCTTACAAATTTGATACGAGTTTATGGTGCGTCCAGGATTTTGCCTTAACCACATCTCAATTTGTTGCGAATAATATGTTTTAAATGGTGACATAAAAGACAAATCTAGAAGTTGTAGTTTGTGTGAACTGTGCGGCGGGATACACAAAATTGTAACGAAATTTGCACGTCCTGCTTCTATCACATCTATATTTCTTGTGTGGCTGTAGTGACCATCAAGAATAAGCAGCACTGGGTCTTCACGGGATGGTTTCACGTGAGCTACGAAATGCTGTAGCCATTGGGAAAAAATGTGCTGCTGAATCCAACCTGATGGATGGCAAGCTGCAATAGAGCCAGGCGGCGATCCATCTAATAAATACAACAGTAACTAATGCGCCTCTTTCAGTCGCGGTAACAGATCCAACCTGTTTTTTTCCTTTTAATGTTATAACACGAGTATTCGTGGACTGAACCGTTGTTATGCCGCTTTCATCAACGTTATAAACTCTTGCGGGGTTGAAGTTAACTTTTTCCATTAACGTTTCT